AATTTAAACAATAGTGATCACTAATCTAATAGCTAATAAAACTGAGACAAATGAAGAGATAAGTAAACTTACTCATATGTATTAGCTAAGGGGTAATTAACCATTGGCAAATGTAATGAAAACTATCAGTTCAAGAGTAAAATTTAGGAAAACTAAGTAGAAAATCCACAGCACGGAGATGGTAATGGAATGGGATGGTATGTAAGTAATGGGATCCTTTGGATAACTATATATAAGCTAATTCAAGTGACCAAAAATTTAAAAAACAAAAATCCAAAGAACATGATTAGGTTTTTTAGTTAGGGTATTGAAGAACAAGTATGAAAGCAGAACTTTGAAGATGAATTAGCGAATAAAGTGAGGTCAGCCAAAAAATTGCAGTGACAAGATTTAACAAAATTTGGCATAAAGAACTAGGAAAGTCAAGCTAACGACACAAAAATATAAAGAAGATAGTAAAACTTTGTACAAAATCGGTGATGGAAAAAGAAGTAGGCGGAGCATGAGTAAACGTAAATAACCGAGAAAAATCCTTCCCGTTTTCCAAATCGCTTCCAATTTATCCATTAATAAATCAGCTCAATAGGACAGAATTAGTATACAAAATTTTCTTCTGCCTCAGATCTGGCAATAACTCATTTAGCAACAACAGCATGCAGCAACGTGTCACTATATCATAGTATATTAATGAGATATGCATTCGGGCAGCTGTGATATAGTGGCCATAATTCAGTAGGGCCAACTAGCCAGGTACACAGAGGCTGAGCGTGACGGTAATCCCTGTATGATTAACACCATAAATCTGCCGTGGATTAACGCAATCGCCATCGCGGACTGCCGTGTACACTTGCTATGAACTATCGCGTCTGGCTGTGCCCGAACGGCCGACTATGCATATCGGTGGCCCTCTAAAATGCATATACACCGTGCACTCATTACATGCCTCCTTGATTTATGACTTGGCGTGATATTCTGGATAACGCGATATATATGGCCGAAATTAATACAGGTAGCGATGCCTGCCGATTATTTGGAAGGTTGTGTTTGGATGTTAGTTAATTTGCTTTCATATATAATTATTCGAACGGTGGGAATTTATTGCCCAATTATTCCAATCTATTACCGCGTAGATCTTGATATCGAAATTGATTGGACGCGGTAATAAATATAGGTATTGATAACGCGATGGCTCATTAGATACAACGTTTTAATTAAAACAGGGGGAATGCAGCAATGACTCGCTGATTCGGAAACGAATTCTTTTTGATTAATGTAGTTAAATTAATAAAACTAAAACAATAACGATGGACAACAATCAAGATCGTATTGTTGTATCATTAGCGAGAGGACCTCGAAAACCACGTACATTTACATTTACATTTTACATTTTTACATTTTTATTGATTCGTGTTATTACACAAAGTGTTTACACACGTCAGAAAAGAAACATTGATATTTTCAAATTACAACACAGTTACAAATACAGATACAAGCATAATCCTAAAATTAGTAAAAATATAAATACAGATTAAAATTAACATTGATTGTAACAGAATAAATAAAATCAGATAAAACAATATTAAAAAGAAATACAATAGCTCGAAGCTCACAAATGATTAGAGTCACTGTCAAAAAACTGCTCAATATCATAAAAAGCATTTCTCAAAAGAATTCTATTTTTAAATTGATTAGGATTGAGATTCCTTATGTGGATTGGTAGGGCATTGTAAAGACGTATTCCTATATAACCCGTACCATTTCTAGTCGTACTTAGTCTTAAATAGTTAGTAGTTAAATTATTCTTTGTTCTAATATTATGAGTGTGTAGCTGATTTCTAGTTGAAAAATTTGTTAAGTTTTGTTTGACATATAGTAAACATTGCAATACAGAGAACAGTAAGTATATTTAAAGAAATGAAATCCTGTTTGCAGTCGCTCCTGTAACTCAAACTTAACATGATTCTACGATGTGCGAACACATCCCTACTAGGGGTAGCATGTCCCCACACAAGAATAGCATAGGATATATTAGAGTGTATAAAACTGTGATATGCTGTTTTCAGAGTACTCAACGATACCTTACTCACAAGATTTCGTAGTAAACACATATATTGTGACATCTTTTTACAGATATAGTTTGTATGTTGTTCTCAAAGCAACTTAGAATCTAGGTAAACTCCAAGGAATTTAACGTGATCCAGTTCTGCGCCATTATCAAACTCTCGTCTTTGTCCTGTTCAAAGAAAGTTTATTACTTGTAAACCAGTTCTCCACACTTAATTGCATCTGAGGGATTTCTTCCAACAAATTATTCAAGTATTTATTTTTTATTGATACACTAGTATCATCAGTAAAAAGTACATTTAACATATTCATATTTAAGGAGTTAGTGATATCATTTATATATATCAAAAACAGAGTTGGTTCCAGTATGGAACTTTGAGGTACGCCATGCTTAATGTTTTTCAAAATAGATTTTATATTATTATGGTACCTTTCGAATCGGTCGAGGATTTTACTACACTTTTGAATTTTCAAGAAATTCGCTTTGGCGACAAAAAACCCGTTCTACTGCCTCAGAAACTTATCTCGAGTCACCAAAAATTACCCAGAGAATCCGAGACTCAGCAGTAGATGGAGAAGAAAAGTTTTCGTTATATTTTTGAATCTCCAAGCCAACTAACCCTAACTGATCGGTACTCGCTTCACGTCGTCTGAGATAGCATCTTGTATCCCTTGGAAGCCACAAAAGAGATACTGAAGCCACCATGATGACGTGGGTGGAAGGGCCCGAGGACAAAAATTCTCACTTTAGTTTTGAATCTCACTTAGACAGGTGCTAATCTCAAGGAGCCTACGCAATGTAGACCCAGGGGATGTGCTATTAATTATCCAGGTCCAAGATTCTAGTGAAACTGTGAAATTAGTTCCAGAGTTCCATATAGCACTTTTAACATATTTTTATGAGCTCCAGTTATCTACTAGTCTCTTCTAATCAATTACATGATAAGGCATGTGCATTATGTGAATAAAAAACAGATAGACGACACAAGTCCAATGATAAACTAATAGTACAGCACCTAGCTATAACTAAAGAAATTCAAATACAATATGCAGACGTTATATGGATATAGATGTTTATTTCATCATATTAATAAATTTATCAAAAGTAAGTTAAACTGAATTTAACTAAATCCCTTAGCAATATCTCAATGTCTCGGATATTATACACACTAGCAAAATAATCGCATTACACATAGGAACATACATTCGCATCAGCATATAATTTTCTCGAGATATTACAGTTAGATTTATTTATTATATACCCAAGATTAGAAGCGTAAAACACGAATATGCTGGGAAGCTCATACTGAATTTGTATAACTTCTGTCAATACCCCGACGTACTAGAAGGTGTGCGAGCAACGCCAGCCTTTCCTGGATGATCATCCACCCAAATACGAATCGTAATCAATGTTACGTGACTCTTCTTAACAAAGATATGAGTGCCAAATTTTTAAATCGCACTACCCTTAACCAGCAAATATAAATTAGATATTCCGTTTACTTTCAAATCTTCAAAAGAAAACATATCTTCACAGTACCGTCTATTGAAACAGCCAAATTTAGTCAAGAAATTAGGCTTCGGTTTCCCTCAAAGGTGACATGAAAATGGTAGATATGCTATTAAACAAATCTCTATCAATCTTCATCCGAAAACCTTCAAAACTAAAAAACTATCTTTAATATCACAGAAAATCAAGTTAGGATAGTAATTCTTTAACAGGTTACAATATATCTTAAATTTGAAATTTAACGGAAGTGATAATGCTTAGAAAATTATAGATCGGATTTAGTTTTAAATTCCGCAGCACATATGTATTTATTGTAAAACGTGATTATTACACAAACGTTTCAGTTAATACGGAAGATTACACAGCTCCACAAAAAAAAATCGAGAAAATTACCCCCTGGAGTCTGACTATGTCTATCACATGTTTTTGGGATCGCTGAATCCAAATTCGAGGTCCATTTAACCCCATCACGTAATCCTCTATCCATTGAACACTCAATTCCAATAACCCCATAACCTCAAAATGCCATAACCCCAAAATCCCAGAACCCGGTAAGAAAGAGACTTATGCGCGTTGAAGACCTGAAACACAGTATGTTCGAGCCATGCATGCTTCTTGAACCTTAAACCCACATTCTTCAATAACCCTATAACTCCAAAATCCCATAACCCGATGAGAACGAGACTTTCGTTGGGAGAACCTACGTTTTGCCGAACCCAGGAACAACGACGAGGACGTAGTAGGCTTATATTCCCTTTGGGGTGCTTTATTAAAGTGAGGTCCTCTTGCCTCTCACTTTTCGGGGTGTTTTTTGAAAGTGTGTTCCCCTTGCCTCACACGAATAGCAAAAATAAAATAATAAGATAAATTGACTAGGTATATGTGAAAAACGATTAAATTATAAAAAATGAAACGCAATGAAGATACTACCTTTATTCATCTTCTTTAGACCATTTATGGTAACGCACTTCTTCAAAAAATCTACGGAGTGAATGCCGTTTCTGATTTTTGTCTGTATTTCTTTTCAAATTCCAGCAATAATCTGGTATCATAGTCTCACCCCATGTTCCCTGATAACGCATTTTGAAGTTCTGAGGTTAAGGGGTTTAAGGGTTTAAATGATTAAGGGGTTAAGGGGTTATGGGGTTATTAGGATAGAGTGGCAATGGGTAGAGGATTTATTGGGTCTTTGGGCCTATTTTTTGAGATTAAGAAAAATCCTGACGTGATGAGGTTAAATGGATCCCGAATTTGGATTCAGCGATCCCGAAAACATACGATAGACATAGTCAAACTGCATGGGTACTTTTCTCGATTTTTTTTATGGGGATGTGTTATTTAGTGAGTTTAGACAAGTTTAATGTCAGTAAATCAAAATATTAACTTTACCCACTGCTACGCTTTAGAAATAATTGCTAATACATACCCTAACTCGAGCTTCAGTGAGGTTCGTCCACATAGCTATTTCCTCCCTGGTGCTCATGTCAGGGTAACGATTCCTAGCAAAGGTAGCCTCCAGTTCTTGTAATTGTTGACTAGTAAAGTGAGTACGTTGCCTCCGTTGTCTTTTATTCTTCTTGTCATTTTTTCCATCATCTCCTTCGGATGATTCTACGCCCACGCCAGATTCGGTTTTTATTGGATCTGACAAGGACCTACTCGCTGAAACAACAAAATATATTAAAATAATATTAAATTAGCAGGTGGTATTAGTTTTTCATTAACTAACTTAATTGAAATTAAAAAGCTCTTGGGTCTACGAAAAATATTTTTTTCAGATATTCGGAATTTATTAAATCAGAAACAGGAGATAAGGACGAATATATCAACTCTCAATGGACTAAGAATATTTAAAAAAACTGGCATGTAGAAGCAACACCCAAATAATAATTTTTCAATATTACTACCAAGCAGCAATTGAAGATATCTATTAACTCATACATAGGTTTGAGAATAGTAAAGAAAACAGTATAGAACATACCACACAGTTCTTTTTACATAGACAACGTACATTTTAAGACCTCTTTCAACCCATTTTCTTGGACAAAAGTGCTCATAGTAACAAATTCAGTCTAACAACAATACAAGGAATGCTTCTAAATATTTTAAAATCTCTAATGAATGAGCTATAAAAGAATCAGCTTTATAGGATGATAAGAGATAAAGCAAAATAACTAAATCATCACAATTATTCCAAGAAACACAACTGACAACACATTTCAGTTGAGGTAATAGAAGAACTGAATGTGAGATCTACTACTCAACGAATGTGAATGATTGATGAAAGAATAAGGAATTCTTATACTTTCAGACATAAATTTGGAGTGAAATTACTTTAGCTATAAGATGTCTTAGGTAATTTACAAAAAGAATAATTACTTAAATGGGGGTAAAGTTGCATAATCAGAGGAACCAACATTATGCCTCGAAAAAATCAAGGCTAACATGATTAGTTTTCGAAATATTTGAAAAAATATTAATACATTTTTGTTTCATCTCAGCCTTGTTTGGGGTGATATAAAAAAGAGGAACCCTCTATCACTATCTCTATTGATTATGCCCTCTATCGAATGGCATAATCAATTTGTATATATGTATAACGTTTCATCTCTTCAGGACCATCATCAACTTCATTATTTTAAATACGACCCTGGAAATTTTATAACATTTTTTGCAAGCCTTCATAACCCCCAATACTGTATTGCCTCAGCCCGAACCAGATTCAGACGTTTTGTCTCGAAAAATTCATCTTCAATGTATTCGTTTCAAATTAATTTAATTTTTTTTAGATTTGTATGTTTATTGAATTATTGTACACTGTAAGTGTCGTTAGATCCTGCGAAATCCACTTAGTTATTTAAATTATTACCATCACACGTTATAATAAAACATTTTTTGAGTTTTTAATTCCGTACACATAGTTATTTCTAGGGTACTCGAGTGCTCAAAATTCAAACAAATTTCGATTTTTTTCAGGATATTCATATAAATACGTCTGACATGCACTTTCACAGTAGCGGTTACAGGTATAATTCCGATCATATTAAGCTTATCTTTATTACGCTAAAAAACGAAATTGATGATGGTCCTGGAGTGACGAAATGTTACATATAAAAATTGATCATGCCATTCGATGGAGGGCAAAATGTGGCCATGAGAAAGTGTTCTTCTTTTTTCAATTTCAGCTCAAACAAGCTTAAACAAAAACAAATTTCCAAAATTTCCTTTTTTTTCAAATATTTAGAAAACTAATCACATTAGCCTTGATTTTTTTAAGGCATAATATTGGTCCCCTGATTATGCAACTTTGCCCCCATTTAAACTAGTTCGTATCTCTTACCGTTACCGAGATCTCTGTAGTAAGAAGCAAATTTGTAAAAAGGTTTGTAGGTTTTATATGACTTAATAATAGTAAAAATTAACTAGATGTACGTCATATGCATTATTATCATTTATGAAAATTATATTTAGTTATGTTTAGTACCACATAGCTATTTTAGAATTCACATTATTTTTGTAAAAAAATCATTTTTACGACTGACATCAAAGCGAAAGAAAAAACACTTGGGCTTTACCTTTCAATTAATTTGACTTCAACTTGCAGTAATCCTCACATGTCAGTCTAATTATTTAAAGCCAGAACCGAAATAGTACCTCTTTCACTATTAAAGCGCTGGGGATTAGCTTTATAGCATCTGTAACTTTTTCAGTGTTAGTAGTACACTCATTCCATCCGTTTACAAATAAGTTACGATACGTGCAATAAGAACTAATGTAACTAGATTAGCGTGGTTTAAAATTAGTTCACAGTAGGGTAGTAAACCCATTCCTTGATATTGGCTAAACATGATGCTTCTCTGGGGTCTGTCAATAATAAAAGAAGAATTTTGGTGTTAGGAAAGTAAGTATTGTATAAACATCTCACCAATCGTCTAACCAAGATAATTAAAATATATTAAATATACAGAAACATGTTAGTTATTGGAACTTTTTTTAAAGTCTGGATAAATATTTTAGTTATGATCCTTAAAATCGCTGCCTTGAAATTCTTTGCAAATGTAAATATTCGAAATATACCTATAGTTCTAAAATATTTTGGTTCCCTGTCTAGACGAAATTTTATCTCTAACGCTTTATGGATGAAAAATTCAAGCACCTCCCATCGAAAATCTATTAATCTCTTTACTGATAAGGATGCTTGGTGAATTACCAATGATATGCACTTACTAAATCCCTTGATTATCATTTTTTTGCAATATACGTGATTACGAGCCCAAATATGCTATCAAATTTAAATTATTTAGGTAGTAAGAAATAAATCTATGAGTAAGATGAATGGATGGATTAATAATAATTTTCACTATATCGATTTAATCGTTTCTTATCGAAGGTTAACTTCCATGATTTTGAAATTAGTAAGAGAAAACACACTTTTAGTGAGACAATGACAGAACAAAAAAATCCATCTAAACTATAGAAATGTTGAAATACAAAGATTTCTTTAATTGTTCGCGGAAAAATATCACAGAAAACATGTAAACATCAGAATGTACCTTTCAGATTTTGTAGAGAATTTTGTAAAAATCCTCAATAATTATTGTGATTAATTCGTGTGTAAAAAGCATTCTGCGCAGTGTGAATATATTTATAGTACTGTAAGTGATTTTCTGTACATTCAACAAATGTGTGCAGTTCAGGAAACTTAACGATAAACATAAGAATTAAAGATGTGTTTTCTTTTCCTTATTCTGAATGCATTGTCAGCTTGTAAACTATCTTATACCCTGGAGAAAACTTGAATAACTGGTACGGTGAAAAGATATTGTTGCTTAGATCTTCTAAACCCCTCTGCTGAAAATGATGCCTCCCTTAAAGAAAAATTATCTGAAACAAACTACATCCTGCTATATATATATAATATATTTTACTCTAGATTCTGCTCATAGAGACTCATGAACGTCGGTAGTTTGTAATAATATTTTCAACTCTGTTTCTATAGGTTTAAAGTTATAAATTAATTCTGTTAATGGGTGTGCTGGATCTTCTAGGACGTTCCGAGGAATATTTTTGGTATTGCGTTAACCAAATATTTATAAATAATTTAATTATACTTGAACGCGTTGAAAATATAACGTTATCAGAGCGGCAACAATTGTCAGTAATCAAACAAAATATTATCAGTTATGGAATACCTATATTAACTTATATCAAAACGTCTAAATATCCATCCAGATAAATACGAATCGACGCGATAGAAGGGCAGGAGTTGAAAAACATAATGGACCACTTTATAATATTTGACAGGTGAAGATGTCGGCGAAACGCCAATCGGCATCACTGTCATATAAGAGATGATTGATGGAGGCGGTGCGATCTCAAAGAAAATTTATCACGGTCGCGTTTTTGCCTTATCTTTAATGGTTGCTTACTAATCAAACAATATTGGTGTTGCTCATTCCGCGACCCTCCTGGAATCCATATTTCGAGATTATACATCACCAGCTTATATCGTATAGCCAATCGCCGGTTATCTGTTGAAAAACGTACGTTTCCAACGATACGAATTCCATTCAAATTATTAGATGCGTTGTTGTTTTCTTGTATAATAAAATTACGGATATGTGGATGTCAAGCTTATAGTTAAATGAAACCGTTTATTATTTGTTGACAAACGTACAAAATCATTAGGAAGAGCTTCATTGTAAACAGTAAGATTTTCTTAATGGGAAAATTTGGAAATGGAAATTTCCTTCCTACGTACAAACCCAGATTCCAACAAAACACACCCCAATGTTTTGAACCATTGGATTTGGTGTGCACGCATCACCCAAAGTGGATGGTCTCATTCTAATGCTTTGAAGCAATTGTTTTGCTTCCATTATCCAAATCACCTACTTCGTTTTCGACTGACGATCCAAATCATTTACACACAGTCTGATTAGCTAGGTTTGGAGGCTTCTGTGGCAATTATCTCTTGAAACCAGTCATACACTCTTTTTTATTAATGTTTTAGAATTCACTACCCAGTAGTTACAAATATTCTTTTGGCGGCACTCTTCTCGTTGTACTTAGAAAGGAGTGTACCTCGCTGGAAGCGGTAAACGTAGATGATCGAACAGCCCTAGGTTCTAATCGGATATTCCCCAATTATGACATCAATTAAGTGCACTTCCAGTATATTCAGGTGCAAGGTTCGTAATTTTTCTTGTTTGGCGAAACACTACCCTATAAAATTCTGTCCGAAAGATGCTTCATATAATGCGGCATCCTCTAGAAGTTTTGGAAATTGCAGTGGCTTATGAAATCGTCTTAGTAACAGCTTCTTCAACTGTTTCCAGGTCTTCGTCAGGTATCTTATAATCTTCTCACTCTACCCGCTAACCTAACTATCGTTGAAGAGTGTCATTTGTAATGTTCTATTAATTCCATATGTTTTTCGTCCACTCTAGGGTAATACATTTTCCGTTTACCGTTTTACTTTCTTTTCTCTTGATCGTTCTCTTTCTCTTGATTCGTCGCCCTTTGCTCCTTTCTTTTACCGAGCTATTAGATGAATTCGAAGGACTAGATGGATGTCATGGTACTACTTATGCTAATTCGATTTTAAGGTTGCTTGGGTGGCGTAGAAGTATTACTTCCAGACTGTGGAAGACTCGCCCACT